GCATGCTGAGTTTTTTTGTCCTGTCAGAGCAGAATAGCCCACATACTACCAATGGCTTGTGATACTCTTTCTCTTACTGAGCATTCCTCCTCTACCATGAGGGAGGGGAGGAATAAAAGCATGCAGTCCTTATTGAGCACAGATGGCTTGCCACAGGGTGACAGCAATAAAAAGGCTAGACAATTTTTAAGATGGCTAGCTGTGTCTAAAAGGCTCCTATGGGCTGGATGGGGGAATGAGGTGCCTGCCCCATCCTCTCAGTGTTTGTGGGGCTGATACGTGTTCAATCCTGCAGACTGTGGGACAGCATCCTTACTTGTCAATATTCATGGGGACTTGAGAGAGCTGATACTGTGCCCAGGGCTTTCTAGGCAGTTTGGGGGTGGTATCTGAGGTCTTTGTATCTACTGTTTTCATTATTCAGTCAGGCTGGAAACCCAGCTTTTCTCCAGATGTCAGCTTGTCCAAGCTGGAGGCTACCATATCTGTAAGGTTGCCTCATGCCACTGGCTCTTATCAGCTGCTGCTGGTTTCTGGGCACATCATGAACGGGTGACCAATGTGTGGATTTCATCCCTTGGGCTGTCAAAATCTAGAAATGCAGGGACGAGCTTCATGTTTTACCAGTGATGGCTGTGTAACGATTGCATTAATGATAACAGAACTTGAACTGGAGGAGGTTAAGAGGGGCAAACAAGAACCAGAGTTCAACAGACAAAAAATGCTCATCTTTATAAATAGATGGGGATGAACTAAAATCACAGTTGTTTGACAGGTGTAAGTGACATATCTTTAAATAGTGGCAGTTCTGATCCTTGAGAAATTGTGACTCTCACAAGCCTGACAGAGAGCAATTAAGGGACAAGCTCAGCAGTCAATAAATGCCCCATGGGATTACTGGTTCACAGCAGTCCTGCAAGATGCAATCCTCTGACAAGGAGCTCAGAAGGGAATAAGCTGATCCTCGTTTGTTTTGCAGTAGCTTATCAATCATAGTGTTGGCCTGGGCCCTGTGCACAAAGCTTAAACAGTTGCTTACATATTTCCAATATTCTCTCTTTTCCACTGAGCCTGCCTTACCACTTTCTCAAGGAATTTAATGGATGTTTAATAACCCTTAGTAAGACTGCAGTCTGTTGGTTGGTAGTGGTAACATCAAAACACGGCCATTTCTGGAACGAAACACATTAAAGCCATTCAACATCATCAGTCAATATTGTATTTCTCTTTTATAAACAATGAGGATGCATGCTTGCTGCTGCCAAGACAGAGATCTGATGAGGACATTTGCTTTCCTAATGGATAATCTCTAATCAGGCTTATCTTGTACTGCATGCTGCCATGCAGGAAAAAAGGCAGGAAAAAATATTTATTGGGATACAGTGAAAAGGTCACAGTAATCATGTTTGCTACCGTGTCGATGTGTGAGATTGTCCTGTGCTTTTTCCTCTTCCCTCAAGACAAAACAGCTTTCTCAGTCATGACATGAATTTACAATTAATATCTAAACTGAAGGAAATAGTTTCCAGTGACACAGAAGTGAAGGTGCTTTTAAAAAGATTTTTGTTCGTTTTACACCAAATGTACATAGAGAAAATAAGATGAGATGTGTAACTGCAAATGGACTGCATGCGTATGGGTATGTGGAGCTGGGACCTGCCTGTGAATGGTGTATGAGCAGTCTAACCAGTGACCTGAGTGTGTTTTGAAGAGGTTAGGAAAGGTCACAGCTCCAAATCAGAAAAAACACTTGGCCGAATCCTGAAATACTACTGGGATTTAGATGGATCCCAAAGCATCTTTCTTAGATGCAGTTTTAACTGGCTGGAATACCAAATACTCTGTTGAACCAAGGTGAGATGTAGGTTGGTTTCAAGGCCCTGTGCAGGCATCCCACATATTCATGAGTGCTCTGAGCAGTGCTGATGGCTAATGCAAGGTGTTGGTGCAGGGACATGTCAGAAGCAGGCACCAGGCCACTACTGGCCTAAAGCAGGAGCAAACAGTGAGATCGCATGCCCCTTCAACTCCTGTTATGCTCTTCAGCACTGTCTACTGTTAATTCTTTCTGTAGTTTCTCAAAAGGAGGCCAATTGGCAAAGGATTTACAGGCCATTACAGTGCTGCCATGAAAATACCAAGAGAATGAAACAGAGCAGTGGGTTGTGTTAGTGGTCTGCAGCTGCTCAGAGCTTTTGGGGAACTACATTTCACTGAGTAGGTCTCACCTAGCGTCCACCCCATTTTGGGGAAAATTTATGTTGAAGTGGATTTTATGACCCATTATGAATCTTCATTCCTGCAGATGGCAGAGAAGGGCACAGCCTCACATAGTGATGTGTTGCTTTGTGAAATCATGGCAGGATGGTTAGCTTCTTTGCAGTAAGTGTAGTTTGGTAAGGTGCCATCTGAGATTAACACAGAGATGTTCTAATACGCTGCGAGTCTTTCAAGCTACTAAAAAGAAAAAAAAGAAGATCCAAGTATGCTCTATTTACTGTTTCTCCATGTATTTCTATGCAGGCAGCAAAAACAGTTTCTTTTTTCCCTGTCTTTTTTTTTTAAGGGGTGGACCACTAATGGGAAAGCTGAAATGTAAAAAGCAGTAAACAAAACACTACCTCCCTCCCCTAGTTTCAGGAAAACATTAATAGATACCTAAGAAAATGGAACTCAGCCTTAAGGTCTAAGCCACAGAAGAGTCATCCTTAAGAAAAAAAAAAAAAAGAAAGAAAAAGAAAAAGAAAAAAAAGGGGCCCGATTATAAATCTTTTATCACTTTGAACCTATTCATTTAAAAATATCTTAGCTGAAGGCTGTGGTTAGCAGAGTGATAGAGTTACTCAGACTGGAAAATAATAGCTTGTTTTTCAATCATGATGGTGGTCTGGAAGCCCTGTTCTAATTTGATGATGACATAAATAAAAGAAATTACTTTCAGAAAGACAAAGGTACGATATTATGAGATCCTATGTGAGCACTGAGGGCCAGGGGCTCTTTTTTCTTAATTACTACTCATCAACTCAGCATGTTACTGGAGTAGGGAAGACGCTAAGCTTCCCAAAAGCAGGAACTGATTGGAGCTTTCTACTGTAGTCACTGTAAAAGACTGTTTTTGCTTTCCTAGAGGCTGGATGCTCTGAGCTCTCTGAGACAAACTCATAGAGGATAAGTAGGAAATGCTGGAAACAGCAATCATAATTTATGTCTTCAAAGGAAGAAAAATGAGAATCTAGGAAGTTTTGAGCTAGATAGCTTAACTGTGGGTGCCTGGACACACTGGTACAAACCAACTTCTTCATAAATAATTGCTGGAAATGAGCAAGAGTTAATATGAATCTGTCAAATCCAGGTCTTGTTAATCTGATGAATTTTCTTCTTTAACAGCTTAGTGAGCCCTGCGGGTGAGGGGAAAGCTCCTCCACCTCAGTTTTAAGAAGTTTTTGATCCCATCCTATGTGATATTTTCATAAACAAGTAGGATGATGGACAAATGACATATTCGGTGTGGTGGCTGAAAATGTGGAACTGTCCTACTAACTCCCAGAGCTCCACTGCCAAAATGGAGGGATATATAGGGTAGCTGATATCCTTTATACTCTGTCTTCAACGGGCTTGTAGCATGGCTGAGGACAAACTGATCTGAACAAACTGAGATACTTGAGAATCAGTCTATTTAAAAAAAAAAACCTCATTCTGTACTCTGACATAATCATTGCCTGTACACTGAGGGCTCACTTGCTTTAGCCAGTCACATCAAGGCAAACCTCATCACAAAGTGTACAAACAATGGTACTGCTTTTCAGACACGTTAAGCAGTTTTTTTGCCCACCTCCACGTGGGTGAAACTTCAAATGGAAGAGCATATCTAGTTTGGGGCATCCTGTTTTGAGAAGAATATGGAGTAATAATAGAAAGCGTAGGGCAAATCAGTGATAATGTCATGCGTTTTAGGATATGCAATTCTCGTGGAAAAGCTAAGTGAACTGAGGTATCTTCTTGCCTATAATAATATAGAAACATATCACTTCTCAAGCAAGGCTTTTGTAAGTAATGTCATTCTTTTTCAGATTGACCCAAGCAGTCAGCAGGGGCTGCACAGAGTGGTGCTGTGAGGAAACGATGGAGGAGAGATTTCTTCACACAACAATTTCCACAAGTACTGTCTCCTTTGCAGAGAAAATGGACATGGATATAAGGCAATCAGTGGTAAGCAATAAGTTCCCTGGGCGAATATAAGAAGGATAATAAAACCTGACACTTTGCTGAACACTGTAAGGAACATCAGCAAAGTCTAAAGCAAATACTGTTGACATGATTTAGTCTGACCCAGCTCTGTGCACTGTCCAGAAAAGCAGTTGGTAGCTCAGTTCTCTGGTTCCTTTTTTTCAGTCTTGCATTAAGTCTAGGAGTGGTCATAGTGCTGAGATTGCCTTGAACCCATGTCCAACCACATGTGTAGGACAGCAAGGTACTGTTCCCCATCTAGAGCATTGGCTACATCTCTGTCAGATGTTATTTTTCTGGTCAAGGCTTGTCATAAATTGAATATTCTTTGCTCTATTTTCTAGGTTATTTTCATTTTGAGGTTCATTTTGGGAATAATTTTATTGGTATTAGGAGCTGGAGAATGTGGCACTGTGATGATGTCAGTGCTGTCTTTGCTTGTTCACTGATCATTGCGTTTGTAATTTTCAGATTTTCCTTTTGAACATCTAACACTTGGAGCCATGGCATTACTATATTATCTCATTTTAAAATAAATAAGAAAGAGAGAAGATAAGGAAGTCAAGGTAGTCACAGATAAGAACCTTCAGAGAAAAGTAAGGATAACTCGTTCTTTGATGCCTCAGTATTTTATACATTTTTGTAGTCATTGTTTGTTAATTGTACAGATTCTTGTTTTGGTTATCTGGACACCAGTTTCTAAACAACTGTACTTAGCAGGACTGCAATCTTTTCTTCAAAAGAAAAACAAAATAGATATCACTTCCAGAGTATTGGAAAAAAGATCCCTGTCTCTTGTTTATTTATTTATTTAGAAAGCACATACAGCAATGCACGGGGAGGGGAAGAGAGATGCAAACCAGGTGAGCATACAAATCCATCTCAAAAGAAGTAATGAGACACTTCCCAGATGATTAGTAGCAGTACATCAGTCTATGTGAGCATTTAAACTGTTGTACCTCTAGATTAAAAAAAGAAACCACAGAGAATTTCTGAAGAACAAGGTAAATGTCTGTATTTCAGAAATCCCACCACAATCAACTTGTAGGCAGCAAAGTTTTTGTTGTTTTTCTTCCTGATATTTCTTTCCAGGAGCCTCTCCTGCTCATGCTATGGTTTCTTTCCTCAGTGTCCTTCTCTGGTGGCAAGTAAGGATACTTGTGAATGAAGACTTTGCCTTAGTTCTTGACCTTTTCTTTAACTTCTTCTGATGCTTGAGTGAAATGCCAAGCTCCTCCATTATAGCATTGAAAGAAAGACACTGTTGGGACACAGAAATTGCATTAGACACTTTTCACTGAAGCCAGAGTTTGGCCATACCCTCTGACCAAATCATGGCTCTTATGAAAAAAGGATCTCAGCACGTAAAAGCAGGATCGGGAAGCTTCTCTGGTGACTTCTATCAGCTTTGAGCAAGTCCCTAATTTCTAATAGGTGAAGTCTGTAATCACTTTTTTTTTTTTTTTTTGCCTAACTTGGGTTCCACTGAAATCAATTTAATTTTGGCTTAACTAAATCTGATATTAATATTTCTTAAATTCTACACAGATAGGTAGATTTGTGATGTTCTGTTGACTTGACATAACAAAACTTACCCTTTTTCAACAGGTAACTTTCCTTCTGACCTTAAAAGAAAAAAAGATCTTCTTTTTTTAAAAATCACATGTACCTTAGCCCCACAGAATTGTGAATACTAAAGAAAACAAAGATTTCTTTGTGGCTTAGTTATGTTCTCTTCACTAAATTAATAGGCAATTCCAAAACACAGCATACTCCTCAGTCCTCTTCTCTCCTTGGAAAGAGTCTTTTTCAAATGTTTTGTGTCAAAGAAAGGAGAGAAATTACCACAAGAATGAGGTAGCTGAATAGTTGAGAAAGCAAACAGAAATCTTTTTTCTTTCCACCATCCCAATATTAACAAAGACATTTTGAGTAAGTGGAAAAATCTTTTACAACCTTCTGCTGAAATAATTACTTGTAACACAAAAAACACAAAGAGGCTTTCAATGGAAGTATCTAGCAAGGCAAAAGATCGTTTCATGCAAATATAGATTGATGCATAAAATGAAGTGATGGTAGCAGCATGAAACAAAGCTTTGACCACCTTACCTCCAATCATGCTGAATAAATCCCCCTACCAAAGCCTTTCTAGAACTGCAGAACTGCTCAGTTTTGACACATCTGGTTGTGTTATTGTTTATATATATATATGTAATATTGTTGTATACTGTATGTTGTTATTATAATTGGTTTACTTTGTGAAATGAGAGCAACAGCACACAGACATAGTTCTTTATATCAAATATAAATTCTCTTCTACCAGTGATACCGCTGCAAGAGGAGCAGTGTTCAGTCCTTAGCCACTAACTCAATGGTGATTTCAGTTACACAGGGTTAAAAAAAGTATAACACAGTATGATTTTGGAAGAGGAGAAAAAGAAGAGAAAATCTAACATTTCTAATAGCCAGGTATTCCAGAGGCAAAAGAGTGTGAGGATAACCTGGATAAAGGCTAGATCATTTATTTAAAGCAGCAAAGGGCTTCCTCAGTAGTGAACTCCTCGTGCTGTGCTTCTTCCTGTCCAATATGAATTCTGTGGGTGCAGTGTGTAACCCTGATTTTGCAAGTGAGCCCAAGACATCAGTATATTAATGTGTCTCTGGTTGAACATATATGATCTTGCAGGTGTCAGCACACCAGTTTGTGGGATGAACTGCTGGCAAAGATCCCATAAAGCTCTACATCTGGAATTTAAAGTTTTATCTTTGAGATGTTTAATTTTTGCTCATTTGAAATTCTTTAGTATACATAAATCAAATTATAATAAATTCATGCCAGATCCAAAGTATAACAGTCATGGTCCAGGACACTGTACTACCTTTTTTTCAAATTGAGGTCTGGTAATAGCCAGGACTGTGCAATTGTCATTCAAATAACCCTTTAGATAATGTAAAATGGGAATTCTGATGTTACTGGGTTTAGAGTCAATGGTATCTGCTGCGGCCCTATGCCCTCTGGAAGCAGCAGGTGAAGCAGATAGCATTTTAATACATAATTATTTGTATATTGCTTCAGACTTTTTAAAGCATAGCACCACTTATTTCCAAACTAATAAAGATATATATTCTAACTAACTACCTTGGCATGGATAATTTCTCTCTACTGTCTTAGTTTTAACTGAACTTTCAACATCTAGATTACCAAATGATTCTGGAACTCCATGGAAAACAAGGAAAGGAAAATATTAAACATTTGTAGGAATGATCTTAATTGTTTACCCCTGTTCTTACCAACTTGCATGCTGTGTGTGCTCTTAACAATAGTCATCAATCTCTGCAATGTTCATGCAGGGATGATTTCTACAGAAAAAAATAATTGTTAATATTAGCCTTGTTAATATGCCTATAATCAAATTTTCAAAACTGATTTGTGTTAGTCAGACAAGACAATTACCACAATGTCTTTTAATTTCATATCAGCAAAGTAATCTCATGAAGGTCATTTACGCCTGCACATAGACATTTGCTGACATGATGTTTATGAGCTTTCCAGCATCTGACTTCATGACATGCGAAGCACCCCACTGGTTCCACTCTCAACCTGAAGTAATGAATTAAAGAGATATTGAACTGATCTTTCAAGGATATTCCAATGGTCACAGATGCAATTACAGCCCTGATCAATTTTATGATCATCTCTGTATCTGAAATACTGCCACCTTTGAAAAAACCTACTGGAGGTGGCAAGGAGCATTAAAAGCCTGCAAAAGGTCTTTGTCTACCTCTGCCTTCACGGATTGCTTAAGGTTGTCTAAAAGAGCCATCTGAGATGATACTCTGAACTTTTGGGTCTGGTTAATCATTCAGAAAGTCAGAAAGCAGATATGACCAGAACTCTTTCGAGTCCTAGGAAAACTGGCTCAACATCCTATTTATCTCAAAGCTCGTGAATGCAATCAGGATACTGAACAAACATTTGAAAACTGGAATTGACCTGATTTTTTCAAGCAGTAGAGAACAGTAACATGAAGCAAATTCAAAATTCACCAGAATGCCTAAGGAGTTACTTGAAAATCACCATCTTTAGGAACTCCTGAGACAGCCCTCTGAACAACACCAAGTCTGTAGTTGCCTTTAGAAAGGGCATGATGACATTAAACTTCCACTTACAAGGGCAAGATACTGTTCTCTTAATTTCATATTTGGATAGCCAGTCCAAAAGAGTTTCTTCAATAATATTTTCTGGGTTGTTTTTGCTTGTTTGCATGTTTGTTTTCGACATGTTATTAAGACCACTTTTGAGGTCTATCCAAAAAAGAGAGGAGACTAGAGACAGCAACATATTTAACAACAGAATAATAAGTTTGAAGTTATACTATTAAACTTCTCTCCTAAACAGTGCCCCAAAATGCTGCAGTACATGGCCTGTGAAAATTAAAGGAAATCTTTTACAAATAGAATGGATTTGGGGCTCCTGGTTTTTGTTTTTTTTTTGAGATTCTTCCTATTTGTCCTTTGGTCATTGCAGCAGGATGAAAAAGCTTAATCAGGAAGATCTCAAATCCTTCCTTACACTGGCATCCAAAAGATTGTACTAGGCTATAGAGTAATTCTAGAATCTGAATTTAAAGGATAACATGAAGTTGGAAATTTCTAATTTTAAAAAAATCTGTAGTTAGACTTTATCAAAGTGTTGCTACCTACCCCCGAGGACAAGATTTCTTCAATTGTTTTTTTAACCCCTTGAAAAAAAAAATAATCAAACAAGCAAAAGAAAACGAACCAAACAAGCAGCAAAGGAACAAAAGGACAATCAGTGTGCTGTGCCAGACAACTGGGAGTTAACAAAATCAAAAGATTTAGACTAGATTCTATTTGAAGAGAACACCTGACTAGCTCAGCCATGAAGGAAGAAGTGCAGAAAACAAGGTTTTACTCCTGCTGTGCCTTCCTCAGTGTGAAAAACTCATCGCTGGGAACACTGACATATGTCTTCTGCTGAAAGAAAAGTGATTTGTTTTTTCCTAGTGCAGTGAAGGAGAAATATCCAAAATAGTTTCTCCTAGTGAGTGAGCTGCTGTTGCAGCACATTAAGAATCTGTTTGAGTGTTCTGTCACTATTGGCTAATTGCATGAGGAGATCACTAAATGAAGGATTTTAAACTGTCAGAGTCTATTGAACGGTGACTGTCAAAACAGTGTCACAATAACCCATGGATTATTTTAACTATTTTTCAATTATATGAACTGCTTTTCAGCTTCCTGTTTACACATGCACCCAAACAAAATAATCAGTAGAACTACTTGCTGATCTCAGAAGACATCAAATGCAAACAGGGCTGCTCCCAGCAGGCACAGCTAGCCACAGACAGGTTTGGAAGTGGGTTATGGTGTGCCAATGGAGGGGCTCAAGTTAATGTCTGAAGAAGAGAAGGTATTTATAGACCCAATAAATTAGCAAAAAAATGTTTTTTGCAAGAACGTCACTGAATAGGGATTTTTTCTTCTACTCCTTTGTTCCCAAAGAGCTAAAAATGTGACTCTTCAAAGCTTTAATCCAAGAGAGATGACACAGAGACATGAATCTGTGGCAGTACTTTGAGCAAATATCAATCCAGATGCAGAAAGCATGATTGGTGTGCTTATTCTGGCTGTATGGTGCAGGTGTGTTGCTAAGCCACCCTGATCCTAGCTCTCTGAAACAGTGATCATATTCACAGAATCATAGAATTATAGAATCATTTCAGTTGGAAGGGAATTTTAAAGGTCATCTACATCATGAACCGGAACACCTACAGCTCCATCAGGTGCTCAGAGCCCTGTTCAGCCTGACCTTGAACATCTCCAGGAACAGGGCATCCACCACCTCTCTGGGCAACCTGTTCCACTGCCTCCCCACCCTTATTGTAAAAAATTTCTTCCTTATATCTGATCTAAATCTCCCCTCTTTTAGTTTGAAACCATTTCCCTTTGTCATATCACAACATACCCTATTAAAGAGCCTGTCCCCTTCTTTCTTACAGGCCCTCTTTAGATCTTGAAAGGCTGCTCTCATACTGCCTTTGTTCCTTTCATTCTTCTGTCTCATTCTTTCTCCATGCTCCATGCTGTATTTTTGCTTCATTGGATGGCAGACTGTAATAAGGGCAGCAAATGGCACTAAATAAAGGTAGGAGCATCTACCCCAGCCAAATCAACCTGGCAATGGACAGTTTGTGCATAACCCCATTACTTTCGGAAGCCAGTGGTTTCTATGTGTCA